TTTTCACAGTTTCAAAACCACTAACATTTTCCGTTATACTGTGCCTGCGGTATACGCCATTTTTCAAAATCATCATGGGCAACCAAAAGGCCTAAAATTATGCTCAATATTTCATTTACAATAACACTTGAATTACACACCTCAAAATAATGTCTGTTTGCATATTTAAGTATATATAAGTATATAAGTGGGGACAAAACAATCCCCACTTTTTCCAATCATGAATTACAAGATTACACAAGGACTTGTATTTCATTTGAATGCATGAATGTGGTGCTGGCACACGTACCTCCCGTACAGCATTGCAGAACTCACTCTGCAAAACCCTCTGCAGTGCCTGCAGCTTCTGGGGAGGCACTTCCCCTGTTCTCTGGAGTTTGTCCAGCAGCTCAATGGCACGAGATATGTCTGGAAAAGAGCATATGCAACACAATGAGGGCAAGACCAAAGCCTTGGATAATCATTTGCATCATTCAAAATTAAGATGCTGTCTTTGATTAAACATCTATGCCGAATAAAAAAAAACATTAAATAGTTATGTAAATATATCAGAATGTAATTCTCTCTCCATAAAACAAACAAAAAAAATTGTTTGCCTCATGTTTTATTTTTATTATTATGCCACCGTGGTTTGCATGTACTGGTATCAAATGTCTCTACAACTAATAAGAAATGTCATTTGTTATGCAACCTAAACAAATAAAATAACTTCTAAAGGAAAGACATGTTTGGTTCTCAGCTTCAGCCACAGTAATAGCTTCTTCATTCAGAAAATACAGAAATACGAATATCAAAATAACAGATGTAAAGACCTCTGATCATATAAATCAGCGCTTTTGCTAATCTACAAGCCAACACTCATTCTTCACAATATAAAGTCCCATAAACTGTTACTTGGACTGCAAATAAGATGCTGGCTGGTCAGGATGTCACTAAAAGACTAAACCAGCAGAAACAATCAAATACCCTGATCTCTATTATTAACTCTGTCCTCGTGTGACCATGCTAACAGTGCTCACAAAAGATTACTGCTTCTGACAGCTAAGTTAGCCTCGTGTTGTTCTTGAACGTAAACACGCCGCTTTAACGACAGAAAAAAGATTCATGCTTTACATTTTATACGTTTTCCTAGACGTCGTGGAATTTATTGGATATTACGAATGATTTGATACAATGAATGGCAGCTAACTCGCTGTCGTCCACTAAACTATCATCATGAAGTGACAGCGGGATGTTTAGAGCAAAAAGCGTGATTTACACAACCTCCTGAGCGTTACATGCACCAGAAAGTGTTTCAGTGAGCGGCTTACCTCTTTCCAGACGCACAGGTTCTCCTAGAGAGGCCATTTTAGCCCTGGATACAGAGTTTGCGTTTGGCGAAAGCTCCAGACTCACGTCTCGGCTGCTGTGTTTGTTGCTGTTAGCTAGCTGTAGCTGAGCTAAAGCGCTGTGGCCAATGCAAAGAGATTAAAGGGCGAATCAAGAGCGTGATTCCTGCGCTGCTTCTGTGCAGCCACTTTACATATCATTACAGACACTTAAAAAAAAAAAATATATATATATATATATATATGAGCAGCCCGAGGAAATATCATTTTATTGTATTATATATGAGGATTATATAATATATTTAAGCAAAAGGTACTAGAAGTCGTGCTATATATATTGTGAATATTGTTACAACTACAGGATAGGCTACTGTTTGGCACGACTGTACAGTGTAATTTCTTTAAGCATTTTATATACATTTTTACTTTACTATTAGTGCAAATGTTCATGTAAATACTATTTTATTATGAAAATTCATTTTGTGTCATCACTTTCGGTAGAAGATACAGTCCCTATAGTTAACAGAGCAGTGTCACGCAATAAAATAATCTGGTTTTGTGGATAGGTTTTAGATTATAATGGTTTCATCATTTATTCTATGTAACAAATGTACAGATAAAAAAGGAAAACATTTAATTTCTATGTTTTTAATTAATATATTTTTTTTATAATTAAAGAACACCATTTAGAGGATTCATCTACATATATGAGCCTTGGAATATAAAAAAAAATCATACTGCACACTCCTTTGATATCTACTCCTTATATTTTATCAAAACCACAAAACAAACTGGACTGACTTGCTAAAACGGTGATTCTAGGAGTTTAGTTGCTGGTATTGTAGAAAGGGAAACAGAATAGAATGGCCTACTTCTGTAGCAAATGGGACAGGGCCCTGCTGGGTCTTACCAAGGACTACTTTGAACTGGGGAAAATCTGAACCTCACGAAAATAACTCAGTCATGCAAGTTGTATATATATATGGTGAGAGAATGGGAGGTACTTAAATGGATCTCTATCCCTTTTGAAATCATTTCAATGTAGGATCCAATGTATGTTCGTTGTGAGAGAAGATGTTCTCTCCAAAGCTTGTGCCAAATTTAGACCTGCAAAGGGAGAGCTCAAACTTTATTGACATTGGGTTTGTTTTTCAGTTGCCTATAGTAATTTTATTTCTTCAAATATTTCAATTTAATATTGCAAACAACTTCACAACATACAAAATGAATTATATTAATCCAGAACACATGTCAATGAATAAATTTTATATATATTTTATATATATTTTTTCATCTTGTGGGGATAAAAAAATAAACAGCAAAGCTTTGACAACAGCACCTTGACATAGTATGTATTTCCAACATTACCTTGAGAAGTTGAGGATAGTAAACAGACAGAGTACTGAGAGGAGGAAATCCTGTTATGGTTGAGAATGTAAACGGAATGTTTTGGTCGGAAATCGTTTCCTTGTTTTCCCAAAGTGGACAGTTTCTCAATTCACAATTGAAGCAGCATGCAAGTTTTTTTTTTTTTTCTTGAATGTAATTCTTCCTCACCCCCTCCTCTCCTCATCTCTCAAAATCTTGGCAACGTAAAAAACACAATGTCTCGAAGGACTACTTTGAACTGGGGAAAATCTGAACCTCACGAAAATAACTCAGACATGCAAGTTGTTTCTCTGGTAAAATGCACCAGGAGAATGTTGTATTGTCTATTTCCTTATCCATTCCAGACACCATTGCTGTACATGGTTGCATTTTACAGTAAAAAAGGCTCACGTTATGTTTTTTGTTTTGTTAATAATGATAAGCAAGGGTTTTATATTGGTATTTGATTATTATAGTTTCTATACAATGATTCTTTGTTGAATCAACACGATGGTGTTTGATTTGATTCAGGTATATCTAGAAAAGATGCACACCCATGATCATTTATTGTGACTTTCTGCCTGAGCATCCTTTCTTTATTGCCCTGTCCACGTACTTTTGATGCAGTGAGATACGTACCATAAACAGATGAAACTCGGTGTCCTCCCTTATCTGTGGCAGTGTATCAGTGTCAGACAGTTTCTGTTCTGTTGTCTGATAACAGCCTTTGAAGGAAAGCAGGTTTGTGTATAGGTCTGTGTCTGTGTTCAGGTGCATCAGATATCAGGTAGAGAGCATTGGAGTGTTGACTCCACTGATCTATCTTTTAGACAAAAGAAAATCCTAATCTCTTAGTGCTAGCGATGACGACCTGTACCCTCTTACTGGACAACATTACATGAGGGACTGGTTTCCATAGAATTTACATGCCAAGGCAAGTGTACAATAGGTCTTACCTGAGAACTCTTTGGGCTGTTTGTTCTTCTGTGGAAGAGAGTTGAATCTGCATTGGATACACTGGATATTCATTTGCATTTGCAAAATTCTTCAAACTAGCTTTTGATCCTCTAGATTATACTGATATATATATATATATATATATATATATATATATATATATATGGTGAGAGAATGGGAGGAAT